CCGCCGCGGCGAACCGACCCGCGGCTCCGCCACCGCAACGGCGAAGGAGAGGCCGCGGCGGCCCAGACCGGCATGCCCCGCGGCACGCGGCGCTTCCTTTCCCCCACAATCCCCTGCGCTGTAGTCCTGGGGCTGGGTCGGAGGGCTCCCCTCCCCCCTCCTCCTCCTCCTCCCCCTCCCCCTCCTTCCCCCTCCCTTCCCCTTCATTCCTCCCCTTCTCCCTCTCCTTCTCCCTCTCCCTGGGTTTGAACTCAGGCCTGGGCTCTGTCCCTGAACTTGTTTGCGCTACCCCTTGAGCCACAGTTCCCAATGCCTTTTTTTGCTGGCTAATTGGAGATAAGAGTCTCAAGGACTTTCCTGCCCCGGCTGGCTTTGAACTGTGATCCTCAGGCTCGTTTCCTGGGTAACTAGGATCACAGGCCACTAGGTGTCCGGCTGGAAAAGTTCTTTTGTCCTGGAGGCGAAAGGCTGTAGAAATGAGCAAAAGGGCCAAGGGTATTTTTTGTTTGGCTTGTGTAGAATAATTAAAATGCTTGCTCTTTCAGTATGGCTTGAAAACAGTGGGGCTAAACTGGAAAGAAATTCACCGGATCGGGTTGAATTCCACCTAGCAGATGGCTTGCTATAAACCCCTCCAGTGGAAAACAGCAAATTCCTGGCTTCTGCTACAGATTGCTGCTCACATACATCTTTCATGGTTGGGATCCTGAAAAGTGGTGTGAGGTGGCAAATGCTGAGTTCTTGAAAATTTGAAAACCAAAAGAGATTTAAAAAAAAAAAAACTGAATTAGAAGACTATCAAGCCAGGATGTAGAAAAGATTAAAAATTAATCAGCTTTTCCATTACTACTTGGAATTCCATATAATCATTCAAGTGTATTATTTTTTACTGTCATCAGTTCAAATAATCCTTACCAAGCCTTCAGTTATTGAATGAATGGCTGATTATATTAACGTGGCTTTAATGGATTACATTTTATCAGTTAAAACCTTCTGTAAATCTACAAATAGTAGTGTAAATTCCAAGCATTATTATAGTGTAGAGGAAAACGTTTGACCTCATGAACATTCAGTCCAAAACAGCACAACCAATATGTGATGATTGTTCATTTGCATTTTAAGCTTCTTTCTGTACTTCTAAATGACTTTTGACTTTTTTCTCTACACACATAATTCCACAAATAGAACCTAGCCTCTATTTAAGTTGTTCTCTTTAAGGTGAAGAGACTGGAACAATTTCCATCTCTTCTTGGTCCCCTACCTTTAGTTTCCTAACTAAAAGCTCATTTCAGGAATTGCTGATGCAAATTACTGACTGCTAATAAACTGGCCTCCCGTAGCTAAGCTTTACTGAGTTGAAGTGATGTTCCATTTTTTCCTCAGGTCAGCTCCTACCCTTGTTCCATTGCTACATTCATCACTCCAGCAGATATCCTTCCTCTCATAATCTCTATTCTTTTTTTAGGTCTCCGATCAGGACTTGAACTCTGTACCTGACACTTTCACACACTGGCTTCCATTCTACCTCTGAGCCATGCCTCCAACCCTATTGTATTGACTTTTTTTTTTTTTGTACTTGGGATCAAAGCCCTTTGCCACCAAGCTACATCCCAAACCCCTCTCATAGTCTCTCCTTTCCTTCCATTTCCTCCAAAGATATAACCTCTCAATCATACTTTTAACCTTCTACCAAATTCATAATTGCTTATTGATTTTCAATAGTATTTAGTTTCATTTTTAGGATTATTATTATTATGGCCAATCCTAAAACTTGAACTCAGGGCCTGGGCACTGTCCCTGAGCCTCAAGGCTAGAGCTCTACCACTTGAACCACAGCACCACTTCTGGATTTTTTCTGAGTAGTTTATGGGAGAGAAGAGTCTCATGGACTTTCCTGCCCAGGTTGGCTTCAAACACTGATCCTCAGATCTTTCTACTGGGTAGGTAGGATTACAGGTGTGAGCCACAGTGCCTGGCTGGATTATTTTGTAATAGAAATATTTATTTTCAAAGAAATTCTTCTTAAATTCCCTGGATAATACTGAAAATTAAGCTAGATGTGGTGTCATATACCTAAAATCTCAGCACTTGGGAGACTGAGGCAGTCTGGGCTACACAGTGGGTCCCAGACTCAAAAAAGGGGCTGGGAAGGTGGCTCAATGGTAGAGTGCTTGCCTAGCATGCATGAAGCCCTGGGTTTGATTCCTCAGCACCACATACACAAAAAAAGCTGAAAGTGGTGCTGTGGCTCAAGTGGTTGAATGCTAGCCTTGAGCAAAAAGAGGACAGTGCTCAGGCCCTGAGTTCAAGCCCCAGGACTGGCAAAAAAAAAAATTGTTTACCATATGCAAAACCCTGACTTAGATCTACTTGGGGGACAGGGAACAGGGGCGGGAAGAAGAGGTAGACAGGGAGTTTAGCAACCTTGGGACCTTGATTTGTTTGCTTAAATTTCTAGTATTTAATAAATTACCTGAAAATAAAGCTCCTTGATATTAACTGTTTGTTGATATAAGTGTAAATATTCTCACTATGGGAGATATCCAAGTTCTACTGATTGAACAACTGGATCACAATTTTTTTTTTTTACTATTTTTTTTTGGGGGGTCCGGTCATGGGGTCTGAACTCTGGGCCTGGGCACTGTCCCTCAGCTCTTCAGCTCAAGGCTAGCGCTCTACCACTTGAGCCACAGC